AAGGAAATTCGGAATTTTGACGAGACAAAGGACGCTCAGTGTTTATATCCGCTCATATATTTATTTTAATTTAATGTGGAAGTTCGCTTCGTGGTCGGGGGCCCTGGTTCGATTCTAATTCGCCGCACGGCGTCAAACCTAAAACGTTTACATAGGAAGCAACTGTGTGTCACGGTAGGCGTTTGCACGATAAAGAACCTTTACAGCTCAATGACCATCATACCGTGAAAAATTCTCGAATGGAACGATTAACAACATACAATCAAATCAATTAATTATTTCCTGTGTAACCGTATTTAAACTCTGTGTTACTTTATTTTCAATCAGCACAACTATTAACCAATTCTATTATACCAAAATCCAATATATACAGATATTTGTATGATTTTCATCTAAACTGGCTGCTACATTACGACCGTAAAGCCACTCTCTACATCAGCTCATACATTCACCTCTGTAACTGGCTCGCATACATCACAGTGATAAGCACGAGAAATAGTGCGTTTATTTAATTTATTATAATTAAATACTTGCGCTAATGTTTGTTCCATAAGATAAATGTATACTACATTGTAAATACACCTAAAACTATAAGTTGAATTTGAAATAATTCTTGGAATACAAGGTTTTATACTTGATGTCAAAAATCTTTTGCAGATGTGTACATCCATTGCAGATATGTCTGAGAGAGTGAAGATAGACACCCCCCCCCCCATTAAAAAAAAGGAAATAAAGGAGACAAGTCTTCTAAATAATTAGTATACTAGCTTTCGTTTAAAACCAGTAATATTTAAGATCCCTCCCTCAAAACTGCTGACATTAATTGCATCGCGCACACCCCCCTTGGGAAAAATCACAGATTAACGTTAATTCCGCTTTTATTGAGTTCGCTCTAAAACTAGAATGCGTACCTTTTCTTGGCATGGTACACCCTCCTCTCTCCTCCCCCTTTTCCACACTTCTGTTTGTTTGTATTTCATTGCCAACGACACAAAATGACTTAATTTTGATTTACTGGGCCGAGCGAAAATGCATGAAACCTGCAGAACACAATAACAAATAGTTAAAAATTGAACGCTCTATAATTATTTATGCACAAATAATTTTTAAATTTAGAAACAAAAAAAAATACTCCTTAAAAGAGCAAAATGCAAATCATGACAAGACCAATGATCTTATACATTTTCTGACCATGCCAAGAAATCCCGTACATTTTCCACAGCGATGGAGTCAATAAAAATGTAATTGATGCAAATCACCCATATTCCCCTAACGCTGGCAAGACAATTAACGGTAGCAGATTTGAGGGGTGGATCCTAAATTTTCAGTTTTCTTAGTTAAAGAAAAATAAACTTCTACCCCAGGAAGTAGCCTCCTATGTCCTGAAAAAAATATTTTCTGTCAAAAATATTTATTTATTTACAAAGTACGTAAAAATGCCTAAGGCACAGGTACCAAAACTGTGAAAATAGACTGGAAAGAAATTTAAAAAAAAAATAAATAAAATAATATTGACGTAGTAACAGCCCCATTGAAGTTTTATACATTTCTTTGAAGACGTATTAAATATGTCTCCTTATATTATCAATAATTTTGCTATTGGAATATTGTGATGAACAGGTAAGGCATTAAAGTAGCTTAGTTTCATTAGCTGAGATAATCGGATAACTCTCTTCTTGGAATGAACAGACCTTATTATCTCGATCCAAATTAAAAGGCAAATGCTATTTACTGATAGATTAATCAACGTCTTAATTGTTTTCGTCTTACGCAGATGAAATATGAAGATGACGAACAATAATCAATATCGAAAGTCCAATGAAACGATACAAATTTGGAGCAGAGCAAACAAGAACCTCAAAATTTAGAGCTGGGATCAAATGCCATGGAGGAGTGACCATCCCCTGCCGACCGGTTACACCTGCCGTGTGCTCCTTGTCATGATCGGAAAAAAAACCCAGAAAATCCGTAGACAATTCAGTGTATAAGTAATGGCCTAACAATTAATACGAAAAACATCAGTCAGCATTTGACTTAATGTTAGGTTGTATATGCTGACAAGGTCATTATATAGACCGTAAAACTTGTGAAATGATGACTTCAAACTAGACTGTGTATATCCTTGTTTCATCAACTTGATTGTCAATAATTTGCCTCCTTTTAGAAATTTTTCATACGTAGAACATGCTCTTGCGTAACGAATCAACTTAGAAACATAAACCCCATATTCAGGTGATATGGGTATATTGCTACATAATTAAGGTAAGTTCAGGCCCGTAGGAAGCAATTTCAGTTGGGGGGGGGGGGGGGCACAACCATACATTTTCAGATTTTCAGTTGGGGGGGGGGGGGTACTATCGACTACCAAAAATTCCTTGACAAGCAAAAAAAAAAAAAGGTCATCAGACGTTATTATTGAGGGGGCACAAGTATATAGTAGCTATGTTTTCTGTAGTATTCTGTACATCGGCAAAATTATTGGGGGGGTCCACCCCCCCGTGCCCCCCCCCCCCGGTTCCTACGGCCATGTAAGTTGACGATTAAAACAATCTCAGACGCCCTCTTAATTTTATGATTACTTCATCTGTGATCTCCTAGAGTTTGCCTTTTCTTGAGTATCACACATACCTGAGTGCATAAATTTTCCGATAACGTAAATATCGGTCTTTTTTTAGATTGTTCCGATGACCTTGTTGGTATGGAAACCCGTTGAGGCCAGGTCAGAGAAAGAATTATTTTTTATTGCGTTTAAACGCAATAAGTATTGCGTATAAACGCAAAACATTGGGTTTAATCGCAAAAATCATTGCGTTTAAAAGCCAAAGATTGCCATTAATCGCAATGTGTATTGCGTTTAAACGCAAATTATTTGGCGTTTAAACGCAAAAGATTGCGATTAAACGCAATACTTTTGCGATTAAACGCAATACTTTTTGCGTTTAAATGCAATTATATTTTTTCAAATATTTTGCTATATTTTTGAGTTTAAAGACAATAATTTTTGCGTTTAAATGCAATAATTTTTGCGATTAAGCGCAAAAGTATTGCGATTAAACGCAATAATTTTTGCGATTAAACGGAATAATTTTTGCGTTTAAACGCAATAATCCTTCCTTTTAAGGATTTGTTTTGCATTTAAACACAATGATACTGTAGTTTCAAAATCAAGCATGAATTAGTTAAAGCTGATAAATAACACATACATGTACTAGGATCCGGCACTTCAACTTTAAGAAGATCTGATTTGTTCTGTGTCTTTTTGCAAAGTTGTCCAGTTTTTGAAAATTGTAGTACAGTCCCCGAAACGTTCTACTTTCCCATTTTTCTGTTCGCTCGCCGTTCGTTCACTGTTCATTCAGCGTGCGTTCACCGTTCGTTCACCGTGCGTTCACCGTTCGCTCTCCTTTCACACTTTTGCGTTCTGCGTTCACCGTGCGCTCGCGTTCACCGTTCACAAAACGTTCACCGTTTGCTCTTCGTTTGTTCATTTTGCGTTCACCTTGCGTTCAGCGTTCACTTATCGTTCAGTCTTCACTGTCATTCGGAACTCCGAAGTGAAATGACATCTTTTTTGTAAGTAAGGATTTACAGGATTTGAAATTTAATAATTAACATATCGTGTTTAAAGGATCATTATTTCATAGGAAAAAATTACCTACAATATATTTTAGCATTATTCTAACTTAGCTGTTAGGTTATTTATTAAATTACTCTGCAAAAAAAATGTTTTTATGCGTATGTACCTATGTAGAACGATGCTGAAAAATTAAATTTAAATATGGGCAATATACGGGTAGATAATAATCCATGTCAATTAATTTACCAACTGCAGCAAAATTGCGAAAGTATTTATTACTAACACGTTTTTTTTTTTCAATTATTATAGAAATACATTATTAGAACTAGTACTGAGAATGAGACGGAGGAAAGCAATAAGCAAAAGTCTATATAAAGAGCAGAAAGGGCAGAGATTGAAGTACTTATTTTATTGAAAATACTAGACGTAAAAATATCTATATTACAGGAAAAACATTCTCTCTTCCTGTTTCTGCAAAAATACAGGGGGTTCCAACACCAGGAACCTCCCCCCTCCCCGGATCCGCCAATGGAGTTAGAATTCAACCATTATGACACCTGCACGCTTAAGCCTCTTTTAATTCTTTGTTTATTTGAAAGGCTACACTTGTGATAGACACCTAGATCAACATTTCATATTCATATCATTTCAAGGCCATGATTTTTTTTATCATTACAGCCTGATTAAGCAGACTTTAATAACGATGAAAATTACTAGATACATGTAAAAAAAAATATATATATATATATATAAATAAATTTAATTACACCTTTGTAAAATCACTTAATATAGAAATTTTCTTTGAATTTCGTTTAGAAATACGTGCATATGGTCCACGTATTGCAGTCCTTTTTTAAATGACAGCAACTTGTTTATTTATTTTTTGGAAAAGTTGGAATCAGATCTACACAGGGAAAAGTGGCTCGCATGAACTTCATATAAAATTTGCACGAGTATCATGCGAATTCTTCGCATGAGAAGGAGACGAAAAGGACCACGCATGATATTCGCACGAAAATATCATGCAATTTTCACATGAAATTCACACGAATATCATGCGAAAAGAAAATCGCACGAAATTCATGTGAAAAAAAGAACCCAGGTTTCATATGAATATCATGCGAAGACAAGCATATTTTTTGTACCCCAGATATTAATATCAAGCTATTATCTATGAGTGCACCAAACCTAATCCATTAATTCTATCCTTCTTCCTTGGAAACAGAAATTTTGCTTCTTGCAAATGAAGTTTTCTTGAAAAATTCTCTTTTTCTTACTTAATCAGTTAATCCAGACACAAGTAATGCATGATTATACAAAAAGTAACTTTGAATTTGAAAGAATCAAAACTTGTTTTCTGGACTCCCTGACTAAATAAAGACATCTGTGACATCAATTTCTACATTGAAAACTAAAACAATTGATCTTTTTCTATCTTCTTTATTGAGGTTCTCATCACATAAGATTTCTTTATCTTGAGGATTCTGTTGAGAGGGTGTTGTCGTTATAGCTGAAAATACAAAAGTAAACAATCTCAGGTTATTGAAATTCATAATGGACAATATTTTTTTTAAATTAACTATGAATACCCTAAGCCCTTAAGTAGGATTAATACCTCTTGGTCATAATCACCTGTATGCCAAGTATGTTCTCCAGATACTACTCCAATAAAAAGTTGCATTTTCTGAGATACTTCTGTCAACTCTATGACCTTGACCTTGTCTTATGACCTCTGTTCTGGAAATGGCATATCTTATGATCATTATCAACCATTAGGGCAGTATGATCTTTGGGAGTTACTTTTTTCAATATACAATTATATTATGGCCAAGAATTTAAACTTCAATTCCTGTTACCTCTACATTGCGTAAATGACCAACAGGCAGGGTTGTTTCACTGCCTCTAGTCATAATTAAGCAACCTTAAAAACATATCTAGTTCAAATTACCCTATGTTAGTCTTGGGATATACCTTTGAGTCACAGGCGAGTTATGTCTCAGGTATGTCTACTGTGTTTCCATTATAGAGTTGTGAATGAAAATAATTTAATACATTTGTATCCTTTTGACCTTGAACATATCTAAAATGCCCTTGGTACTGGGTCAAGACTCATCTCTGGACTCAAGCTTCCTTTCTATCAGTTATGAGCCTAAGATTGTTTTCTTGGTTACAAAGTCATGTTCAAATAAGAATTTAATTCTCTTATTCCTCTTTTTAAAAGTTTGACAAATCAGTCTGTAAATTCCTGTTACCAGTTAGTTCATATATAATTACAAAGTGTAGGGAAAAAACAAGATGTGTTTGTGAAAAACTGATGCCCCCTATGGCAGCTTATGGCGAAGGTTAAACTTTCTCAAGTCAAACTGCAAAGTCGAGAGATCAAAAATGCCCAAGCACCAACCATTCAAAAGTTATGGTCAAGGTTAATGTTTTCTAAAAGTGGGCCAAACTCCGAGGTCAAGGTCAAAGGGTCAAAATTAATGGTATTCAGGGGGAAGACCTTGTCATAAGAAATATACATGCAGAATATAAAAGCCCTAGCACCAATAGTTCAAAAGTTATGGTCAAGGTTAAATTTTTTCAAAAGTAGGTCAAACTCAAAGGGCAAGGTCAAAATTGTTGATATCCAAAGGAAGGTCTTGTCACAAGGAATACACCTGTGAAATTTGAAAGCCCTAGTACTAACTATTCAAAAGTTATGGCCAAGGTTAAAGTTTTTTAAAAGTGGGTCAAAAGTTATGGCCAAGGTTAAAGTCTTTTAAAAGTGGGTCAAACTCTAAGGTCAAGGTCAAAAAGTCAAAAATATTTACACCCAAGGAAAGGTCTTGTCAGGACAAATACAGATGTGAAATCTGAAAGGCCTAGAACCAACTGTTCAAAAGTTATGGCCAAGGTTAAAGTTGGGTAAATTTTTACAAAAGTGGGTCAAACTCCAAGGTCAAGGTCAAATATGTTGGTACCAAAAGGAAGGTCTAGTCAATAAATACACATGTGAAATATGGACGGACGGGGCAAAAACTTATATACCCACGACTCTTCGATTACCAGGGCATTATTATAAAGTGGTTTAAAAGATAATTTCCAGACAAAACATGTCTACAGACAGACAAACAGACATGGTGATTCCAGGACACCCTTGCAACTTCTTTGTAGGAGCTAGTATATAACTACACTGTAGGGGCAAAAAAGTTTTAGCTTTTACCAATAATATATGGCCCAGTGATCTTGACTTTTGAGATAATTCAATGTTTTACTATACCCACATCACTGTTTTCGTTATCCCTAAATGCTCTCCCATTGGAAAATGGTTAGTTTGTACATTTCTGTTAAAACTTGAATTTCCTTAATCTGAGACTTAAACAAAACATGAGTTGTGCTAACTGGCCAAGTTTGCAATGGTTAAAATTGGCATTTAGGTGTGATTCTAGAGAATGTAATACGTACGTCTGGAAAGTGCAAAAGTTTACAACAACAGACAGACAAGTTTTGACAGTAAAAAGTTTACTAAAGCTTCTGGCTTAGATGGAATAATTAAATTAAATATGTTCAGCTTAATGTCAAATTTAAATTGTGGAAAAAAAATCATTCATGTATTTACTTACATGTACCATTGACAAATCTGTTTGCATGTATCTTCTGAGGATATAGGTACTCTGGTATTTGAAGCTGTGATGACATGCTAACTGTGCCTACAGTGAAAATTAAAAAATGTCAGATACTGTCAATTCAATAGCATTTGGTTAATTATCTCCTTAGTACCACTGCATTTTTATCCATTTATTCTATAAATTAGCAGAATATATTTAAGATTTAGATAAGCAGAAATAACCCGAATGCTTATGGTTCTGCTAGTCTGATTGAAATAACTCACAGGAAAAAAATTCCTGCTTCTCTGCGGCCTTATCCTGATTTTCTGCAATTATATTTTTGCTTTTCTATGTTTGATCTTCTATTATGGCCCTACCCTACCCCCAGGGGACATGGTTTGAACAAATTTGAATATACCTAACCTTACCTGAGGATGCTTCTGAATTTATGTGGCTAATCATGGATTTGCAATTCTTTGGAAGAAGATTTTTAATGATTTCTCCTATGTATTCTCATTTTAAACTTTGATCACCAATTATGGCCCCTACCTACCCCTAAGAGAACATGATTTGAAAAACCTTGAATGTAAACTATCAAGGATGCTTCCGTATAAATATGTCTAATCACTGCTTAACTGTTCTTGAAAAGAAGATTTTTCACATGTATGCCTAACATAAAAATTTGATAACCCATTTAGGCCCTCCCAACCCCCAGGGGTAATGAATTGAACAAACTTTAATCTACACTACCTGACAATGCTTTCATATGAATATGACCAATCATGGCTTTGCTGTTCTTGAGAAGGAGATTTTTAAAGATTTTTTCTATATATATATTTCTATGTAAAAATTTGTTCACTCATTGTGATCCCACCCTAGCCCCGGGGGTCATGGTTTGAACAAACTTGAATCTACACTACTTAAGGATGCTTCTTTATAAAAATCACCAATCATGGCTTTACTGTTCCTGAAAAGAAGAAATTTTAAAGATTTTTCATGTTTTCCTATGTGAAACTTTGATCACCCACTGTGGCCCCACCCTATCCGAAGGGGTCATGATTTGAACAAACTTGAATCTACATTATGTCAGAAAGCGTTCACATAAGTTTCATCTTTCTGACCCAGTGGTTCTTGAGAAGAAGATTTTTAAATATCCACACCCAATTTTTACTATTTCTTACTTATCTCCCCTTGGAAAGAGGGTATGGCCCTTTGAAACTTGAAACCCCTTTACCATAAAGGATACTCTGTATTAAGTTTGGTTGAAATTGGCCCAGTGGTGGAGAAGAAGATGAAAATGTGAAAAGTTTATGACAACAACGACAGACGACGGACAAATTTTGATCAGAGAAGCTCCCTTGAGCCTTTGGCTCAGGCATGTGTCAGGTGAGCTTAAAACCAATCATGGAAAAGCAGCATGGAGTAGTTGCAGAAAAGGAGACAGGTTGCAAAAATAAGATGGGGGGAAAAGTATGTCAGCCACTTGATCATAAATAACAACATTATTTATATATATTGATGTATACCTTTGCAATAAATATTTCATTCTAGATTTTTTTTACCTGTTTGCATGTAACATATATGTATAATCTTTGAGAAGCTATCAGTGTGGTATAGTGGGGGACCATCAGCTCATTTTCTAGCAAATACCTGCAAGTTAAGAATACAACATTTTAGTAAATATTTCTCAAACATGTCATTAGTAAACACAAAATAGAATATACAGTACAACTCATTTACAGGGAAGTTACTCGGACTTGCTTTCTTATAACTAAGCTTCTTTATGTATCTGCATGTATTTTGGAATGCATAAAAGTTTAACTCCTAAAACAACTGAGATTTACCTCTTTTTATGAGAACTGAGTTCTGTTGTATTTTCAATTTAAAATGTATAGATATGTTTACAGTGGCATTAGTGCTCCTAAATAAATACTTTTTATCTCTAGCTCAATCAAAAATCTATTGATTTATTAGCTATATTACATTACTGCTTTTATTAATATTGCAAACAGAGTGTCAAACTTCAAACTCAATGAATTATAAACATTTTTTATATCTATCATCATTTATAATTAACCTCCTAGTGTTTTTAAAACACTGAATTTATCACAGCACACCCCAATGCCTGCCCTGGTGGCAAAAAGATCAAAGAAAACATTATCCTTTTCACTCTTTAAGTCTTGACCTTTTGGTTAAGTGATTATAGTGGATTGTACCACATACAGGGTGTTTCACAATATATGTCACACATCTAAATGCAGAAAGGAAAATCACAACAAAAGCTACATATACATTTTATATCTCATTTTAATCAGCAGATATTCAAAATTATTATTTTAAGTCAGAAGTATCAAACATTCTCCATTTCAGTTTCTATGGCAACGATTTCCTATAATGTTATACTCCACGTGTTTTCCTTACCATTGTCCTATATATCTTAAGAGACTCTTGTTCAGAAATTTCTGACCACTGCTTCGTACGTTTCATAAAATACTTGACAGATTTCTTGTTTATCATGTTTGTATCTAGCTTTTTAGAACCCCCAAAGTGCATATTTATTTTTTATTTAAAGATGCATTTCAATAAATGTGTCATTTCAGAACTACTGGTGTGTGCTGATGTCCACTTCTCTTGCTCTACCTTTCAATCAATTTTGCAAACTTAACCAACTCTGAATGTCAGTTGGCTTTAAATGCTGCAATGCTGAAATCTTGTTTGCAGACACACTCAATTAGAATCGAAAATTTCTAAATACACTTGATACACTTACATTGTCCCAATCCATTTCCCTAAACGCAGATGTCTTTCTAAAGTTTTTCATAATGATTGACTTCAGTTTGACAATGTTATCATTGGGGGGGGGGGGGGGTAGGGAGGACAGGATGTAACTGTCTTTCATCTTTACATTTTGTTTTATTTTAACTTCTTAATTAACCTTAATGAATGGAAACTAGACGGAGCATTCTGGTCTGGATATTTTTCTTCATCACACCCTGTACAATATTGAGGATATCGTGCTTATAATAAAAGTTTACAAATTCAAATTTTTTTTGCTGGTTGTACTCCATTTTGAGATCAGCTGAAATTATGACATCACTGATGACATCATCAATGTACTTCAAGGTAATATAATTTTCCCAATATTTTGCAATATCATAATTTTAGATTAATATGATTGTCTATGGTATTTTGCTATTTTTGATATCATGCTTAATATTCAGATTATGCCCATTTAGATGTGTGACATATATTATGAAACACCCTGTAGGAGAAAAAAAAAGACCCCACAAAGGGACACAACTCATTTACTATTAATTTGCAAACTAGTGAACATGAACTACAATGTATCTAAACAGATGTGCCCCCACTGTGCATGTCATTAGTACATTGTAGTAATTATATAAATATCATGGTTCTATATATAGAGAGAGTAACCTCTTTGTGATTATACATGTACATTTACAAATAAATGTTTTGATTGGCGGTGATGGGTGAATGTGAGGTGTAATTATATATAAAGGAGAGTTTGGAGAGGAAGAAATAGGGAAGGTCGGAGTCAGACAGAGGAAGATAAAGGAAATTCAAAATAGTAGAGTTGAAGGGATGGGAGCTAGGAGAAGGATAAATTAAAGACCCACCCACTTTTTTCCAAGCCACCCTTCCATTATGTATCTATTTTTAGAACAAAATGATTGACTTACAGTCTGATTAAAAAAAATTAGGTATATCCTAATATACATGTATAACTTTACAGTGCTGTATATTGCTTGGTGAGGTTTACACCATGCACCAGACCCAGGTGCAACGGGCAAAGAGTGCCTGTGCCAGGTCCATCTTATTTCAACATATCTATTTATTAAGCTGTCAGCATACATGTAACTATATTGCCAATAAATTATATTACATTCATCTGGTGATAAAGGAGATGATAAAAATATGACAAACTTACAGAAAATATGCAGTTGAATTTACTCTGCTCTTTCTTGTCTGCTTTCTCAGCCGCATGATGACGTAATATGTGACGTACGGCATTCCATAAAAAAACCTACTTTTGGTTTCGTTAAATAAGTGTATACCCCGTAGTCATCAAAGTTCCGACTAAGACGCGGAAATAAATTTTCAAAATAAAGATTTAAAGGACAAAAATTATAGTTATTTAGATATTTCCCGATTCTGTGATGAATACGAAAGTGAATGGCCGATTTAGCCAGGTTCTACTTGCACTTCCTGTTACAGAAAAAAACGAGTGTACCCTCCTGACAGTCCTGTGGCTTGTTCCAGAGTTTCCTTTGGGATTTATGTGCTCTAATCCCTTGAAACGACGGTGAATATGTATGTACTGTTAATTGTTTGTCATATTTTGTGTTTAAAATGTAGATTCTTATTGTTATTCATTTTGCAACGAAAATTTTCAGAGTAAATTCGGATCTCGTTTTCGTTTCAGATTCAAGCCAGGTGAATCGAATGGTTCCGTTTCATCGAAGTCATAATGAAGTTATGCATTTTTTTATGCTAAGCGACATTTATTTGAAGGCTTTACTAAATTTTGAGTAAGTAATTAACATTAAAAGTGATATTGTTCTGACACATGTGCAGAGACTTGTAAACACGACTTTTACAGTGTATTATGGCACGCCAAATTCACAAAAATGAGCTAATCATAGTTTCACAGTTGATAAACTAGGTTTATCGACTGTAAACTATAGTTTACAGACCGTAAACTATAGTTAACGATGATAATCTATATTTCACATATGTAAACTATAGTTTACACGATAATCTATGTTTCACAAGCGTAAACTATAATTAACACGGAAAACAATCATTTGCTACTGCAAAATATAGTTTATCTGATAAATATAGTTTCACGATTTGTAAACTATGATTTACAACTCTAAACTATACTTAACAAATGTAAATTATAGTTTAGGCTTTGTAAAGTATACTTTACAGACATACAAAGCGCCAAATTCACAAAAATGCGATAAACATAGTTTTACACTTGAGAAACACAGTTTAGGAACAGAATCTCTAATTTTGTATCGGAGATGCACAATTTTCTGTGAAACTAGATTTCACGACTCTAAACCATAGTTTACGATCAAAACTATAGTTAACAATAGGTTTTTTTTTTTTTGTAAATTATAGATCGGCTAATCCTAGTTACAGCATTATAAGATTTTGCTATGTAACGACAATTGTTGTTAAATATATATGCATGTATATTTCTTGTTGGCATTATAAGTAAATGTTCTATTATTTTAAAGCAAATCTAGTTGGAAATAAAAAGAAAAATGACTGGAAAATTATTAAAATTTTATTTTTTTATTTAAAAGAGAAAAATAGAGACCGAAATGCGTGATCTGTCATTAATAAAATACCTGTATATCTTATATTCATCTGTAAATAAAGACATAGGACACAGTACATGTAACATTGCAGGCGCGGAATTTATTTTTCAACAACCGAATTTTCTTCATACATAAATAAAAGTGGCCTTTCACGGAACAAACACAACAAATATTTGGGACTTCTCTCTCATTCTCTCTCTCTTAAATTCAAAGGAGGACGTTGAAACCCCCACAACCCTATCTATATCCGCCACTGCATTTCCTCTCTTTCAGTTTCTTTGTTTTGGTGATGAGATGTGGCGGGAAAATGCTTGGCACATTGTAAAACGCGCTTCACCCTCCTCTGCTTGAGCAAAAATCTCGTAATATTCTGTCTTTTAAAAAATTAAAATTTTATCATATTTCTAAAAATTTCCCCATAGGAAATGTATATATACACGACATTTTAAAACAAATACAATTAATCCTGTTTAAATAGAGAAAGTAATATTGATTATAATATAACTCGGTCTTTGCTTTAGATAATGCCCAACACGTGTCCTTAATATATACCCCATTATTGCTTCTCGCGGTTGGTGCCGCGAAATTTCGAATTGAAAACTATCGTTAACAGTTAACAGGTGTTTAGATTCATAAACTATATTTAACAACTCTTAACTATAGTTTACGAGTGTGAATTATAGTTTATTACGATAAACTATGATTGGCAAATGTGAATCATAGTTTAGCTCTCAAAACTATAGTTTACGATCGATAAGTATAGTTTACGTATGTTAAATACAGTTTGTGAGTATAAATGACAGTTAACTATAGTTTACAACCGAAATCTATGGTTAATGAATGTAAAACATAGTTTATCTGATAAATATAGTTTCACGATTTGTGAAACTATGATTAACAACTCTTAACTATAGTTCACGATTGTAAATTATAGTTTACAGATGTGAATCTATGTTTATCAACAAAATCTATTGTTAACGTATAATTACAGACAGATAAACTTAGATTAGCATTCGTAAACTATAGTTAACAACCGTTAAATATAGTTTTACAGATGAAAACTATAGTTAACAAATCGTTAACTATAGTTCACGGTTTGTAAACTATAGTTTACGGTCGATAAACCTAGTTTATCAACTGTGAAACTAAGTTTCGCTAATTTTTGTGAAATTGGCGTGCCATAGTGTATCACACAAAATATTTTAGGACGCAGGTCCCACAAAAGATCCAATTTTCTTGGGGATTAATCTCACAAATGTGGGGGTTATGAATGAAAA